TTTTTATGTTTGGGGTAGACAGGAAAGCTGGGGAAGGCAATGGCACCCTACTCCAGTACTCTTGTCTGGAAAATCCCATGGACGGAGGAGCCTGGTAGGCTGCAGTTCATGGGGTTGTGAAGAATTGGACGTCACTGAGCGACTTCACTTTCACGCATTGGAGAAGGAAATGGCAATCCCAGGGATGGCGGAGCCTGGTGGGCTGCCATCTTTGGTGCCGCACAGACTTATCAGCAATTTAGCAGCAGACAGGAAAGCAGAGATGGGCAGATGGTGGGGCTGTTGTAGCCTTCCACAGGCTGACTCTATTAGTTCAGAGTTAGCAGTCTTCCTGTTTCTCTGTGGACTAGAGTATCCTGTGAAATTGGATGAGGTTGAGTAGCCTGTGTGCTATTGAAGAGACTCCTGCCTGTCAGCTCAAACATTGTTTATGGAGTGCTTCCTATATGCTGGGAAAGAGTGCCTCCTCTCCTGGATTCCTAGCTGGGGTGGGCTGGGCTGGGTTTGAGGGCTGGGGGAGGATTGAGGAGGCAGTCTCCCTGCCTCTCTAACTCCTCCCTCCTCTGTGAGGGATTTGGACTAAGTGTCCTCGATGGCAGCACTCATGTCTTACTTCATGTCTGTCTGCACGTGTGAGAATGAAGTAGCATAAATGGAATTTGTTTATTCGGTTCTTTTTTTTTTTTTTGAATGAAGTGGCTCGGTTCTTGACACATAGGAAGTATTCAATAAAATATGATTGTCATAAAATTCACCTAATGTTTCTGAGACCTTAAAAAGTCTCCTCATGGTGAAGGCATTAGTGGTGTAAGTGGGGGATAGAAATTAAGGGGGCCCTGGAGGCTAATTTTTGAATTTGTCTCATTAGATCTCCTGCGGTTAATATAAATATTCCAAATATTCCTGAGACCAGGTGGATATTAGAGGGAGTGGACCTTTTGGGGAAGACAAAGTGGGAGGTGTTCAGGTATACCCTGATGCTCTGGGTTTGCCCAGAGCTGTAACACCTCAGACCAGACTTGTGGGCACTAATCAACAATTTGTGGCTTTGTGGGTCTGCGAGTCCTTACTCTGCGGAGACA